TTTATTGGTGCGGATGTACCACTACCATTCTGATCTTTTTTATCTTTTGCAGTTTGTTTAATAACCATAAAAGAATTTCCAAATCTTTTAATAAAATTGTCTTTTTGATTTTTAAGAGAAATTTCTTTTCTTTCTCTTTACTCTTTAGATATTTTAGTAATCATGATATTTTGATTTCTGCATATATTTAAAATTTATTTACTCACATCCATTAGACTATTTAATAATCATGTGGTTTCAATTTTACTATTTCCGTTATCAAGATGTATAAAAAAATTTACATTTATTATATCTTGCATTAAACATTGAATTTTCATATTTAAAATTGTTCATAAATTCGATTTGTAAGCTGTGATACTAAGATTGAGGATCTCACCATGTCTTACAAGTGAAAGCAAAAATTTTAAAAACTTAAACTAAACTTAACAGCTTAATTATAAAATTATACTAAAGTTTTAGAGTTGCTTATAATTTATAAAACTTGAGATTAGTAGAAAGATGAGTTGGATTGTTTGATAAGTAGAAAGATGATGTAAATGAAGAGGTGAAACCCAAGTAGTGGTCTTTTTAAGTGTGAAAGATTGGTGATCTCAATCTTGATTCGTTTTATATATAAACTCTTAAAATGTGAGAAAAAAATTATAAATAAATATTAAGAGAGAAGATCTAAGGCATGTGAATCAAAATTTTAACCTGAAATATAAAAGCAAGTATCAATTCCGGACTTGATGGGCCGGGCCTACTTTCACAAAGCGAGATGACAAATCCATTATGGACCCAGTCCAATATCTTGTAAGCTTTCCCATTATAGATGACAGTGATGATGGCCCTGAGTGAGTACCGTCTTGCTCAACAGTAATATATTAAATATATATAAGAAACAAAATAAATATAAATATAAAAAAAAAAAAAAAGAATAATGCTACGTAGCTCGAAAATGGCTCCCCCGAATCCCCCTAAAGGCAAAAACGACGTCGTTTTTGACTTTTTTTTTTTTTTTTTAATCAGAAACGAAGAAGAAGAAGAAGAGAAGAAGAAGAAGAAGCCCTAAAAAAAAAAACCCCCTTTTTTTTTTTTTTTTTTTTGAATCAGAAACAAAGAAGAAGAAGAAGAAGAAGAGAAGGAAGAAGAAGAAGAAGAAGGGAAAGGAGAAGGGAGAACTGGATAGGAGGGGGCATAAATCAGGGGCGGAGGCGTGGTAGAGGTGAGGCGGAGGCTGAGCTGCTGCGACGATCAGCCGAGCTGCTGCGACGGCTTCTCTCCCTCTCTCTCTCTGTTTCCATTTTCGGGGGATTCGGAGGGAGAGCTCATTCGAGCTCCCAAGCTTTATCCAATAAAAAAAACAAAGATAAAATACATTTAGATTAATGATATGTAGAAGACCCGGTATATACTAATGTTATATTTGGATCATAAATTTTAATAGAGATTTAGAAAGAAAAATTATAAAAGATCACTATTATCTAAATATTTACTCAAATCTATAATCTAAATTCAGTATTAGACTGAACTTAAAAGTTAAACTATGACAAATTTTTATAATATATACCTTTCCAAAGGGAATGCGCCATATACCTAGTTACAATATTTTGTGGTGTTTAGTTTTGATTTATTGTGATATTGATTATGACTTAATTGTAATTAATTGTGATTGTTATTTTGTATATGATCGAATAGATATTTGATTATGTCTTAAGCAGGGTTTGATTATGATTCATTGTGATTTTTTTGGTTATATAGGATTGTTTTGAAAAATAGGTTAAAAATAATTTTTTAGTTTTTATTTTTAAAAGAATATGTAAAAAAATAGAGAGATGATATGACAAAAAAAAATTAAAAGCCCAAAAAACTATTTTTAATCTCTTGCGAAAAGAGGCCATAATATTTTAAACTATTAACACCACAAAATAGCACAACTTAAATAAGGTACGCTGCTTTTTTGGATGTGTATTATAAAAGGACCTATATGTATATACATCATATACTATCCATAGTTAATAAGAAAGTGATATAATGGGAATATTAAAATTAAAACACTATTTTATTTGGAAAAACCCTATGTTTTGATTCCTATAACAAATAAATCATGAGTTTTTAATTGGAATTTTTTTTTTAAAGTCCCTAATATTAAAATTTTATAAGATAAATGACATATAATATTTTCATAGTAGTTAAGGTTCTTCAATATTTTCACAGAGAAAATTGACTCAAAAAAATTTTGCCTGACTCAAAGAAATTTCAATTTTCTTTGTGATCATACCAAAGAAATTTCAAAATTTCTTTGTTAAAATTGAAATATCTTTGAGTCGGGCCAAATTTTTCTGAGTCAATTTTTTTTTGTGAAAATATTGAGGAAACTCAGTTGAAAAAAAATCTTAGACCTCTCCTGCTACACAGAGTTGGAGATGAGTGTTTCACTAATTTTTTCCTTTTTAATTTTGACAATTTAAAATTATTTTTAATATAAATCATTTGTCTTTTCCATCAAGTATAGTATTTTTGCTATTAAACTCAATGGAGGTGTATATAAAATATTTAAAATTTTCTTTTTCATTGAGTATAATGACTAACAAAAAAAAATTTATGGCGCTTTACTTGACAAAAACAAATAAATAGTTTAGATTAAAAATAAATCAAAATATTAAAATTTAACTGGTCAAAATTAAAAAATCAATATTTATTTTGTTATTGGGGTCATAAATTTTCTTTTTTAATTTCCCCTTTATTTTTTTATATTACATATGTATTTTGGATGATAGAAACGTTTTTTTTTTTTTTTTTTTCCTCCCGAAGAAAAAAATAGTGCATAGTTTTTTTTTTTTAAGATTGGCAAAATAGTACATAGTTTGAGAGACTCAAATTTATATTGTTAAGTGGGGGACCCTTGAGAAGATACGAATGCGGAATAGAAAAAGTTACAGGAAAAAACAGGAGTACGTTGCTTCTCCATCAGCAGTTTTTAACTTATACTTGAAAGTGAAATGTCTCAGACTTTTAATTCAAGAACACTAAGGCCTTGTTTGGTTTGTGTTTCAGAAATAATTTTTTAAAATCTTCTCTAAAAACATATTTTTGGGAGTAATCAAACCAAATAAATTTTCTCCAAAAAATTCTCAGAAATGTGTTTGGTTGTCTTTTTTCAGGATCACTTTTCAAAATAAATTCTCAGAAATCCGTTTGGTTGGTTTTTTTAGAAACACAAAATACAAACACCCCCCAATTATGTAAACATGTTTTTTTTTTCTTTTCTTTTTTTCTTTTCTTTTTTTTTTTTTGAGAATGAAGCAAAACAGCACAGATTAGAATGAAATTGATGGATACTCACAGCATGGTCAAGAAATTCATATAGGCCTTGTTTGGTTTGTGTTTCAGAAATAATTTTCTGAAATCTTCTCTGAAACCACATTTCTGGGAGTAATCAAACCAAACAAATTTTTCCAAAAAAATTCTCAGAAATGTGTTTGGTTGTCTTTTTTCAGGATCACTTTTCAAAACAAATTCTCAGAAATCCGTTTGGTTGGTTTTTTTAGAAACACAAAATACAAACACCCCCCAATTATGTAAACATGTTTTTTTTGTTCTTTTCTTTATTTTTTTCCTTTTTTTTTGAGAATGAAGCAAAACAGCACAGATTAGAATGAAATTGATGGATACTCACAGCATGGTCAAGAAATTCATACAATAAAACTGTATTTTCTAATGCAAAAATCTGGCCTTATACCAGATCAGTTCACCTTTGGAAGCATAATAAGATCTTGCTCAAGTTTGAGTTCCATTGAGCTAGGGAGGCAGTTGCATGTTCATGTCATTAAATCAGAATTTGGTTCCCACATTATTGCACAAAATGCTTTGATTGCAATGTACACAAAATTTGGTCAAATTGCTGATGCATTGGATGTGTTTTCTGGTATTAAAAAAAAGGATTTCATTTCATGGAATGCAATCATTGCAGGGTTTGCGTATGGTGATGATGCAGACGAAGCCATGCTGTTTTTTTCTCAGATGAGGCATCTGGCATTGACCCCAGATGATATCACAGTTCGCTCCCTGCTTTGTGCCTGCACAAGTCCAGTTACCCTAAATCAAGGCATGCAGATACAGCCATACCTTATCAAAGTGGGTTTTGATTTAGGTATAACAGTGTATAACACTTTACTTTCAATGTATGCAAAGTGTTCAGGTCTTTATGATACATTTAAAATGTTGAACGAGATGACAAGCAATGCAGATTCGTTCTACTACTCGCATCAAATGCTCCTTTCAAATAAACCACCAAACTCTATAATGTGATGAAGGATAACCCAGTTACCAGACTAGAATGAACACAGTACCTGTTACCACACTGATAACATACCAAACCAGTGTCTCAAGGGATGAAGACTAACAGAATCTATTTAAGCACCCAATTAAGGCCTTCTGTAAAAACATGTAAAAATGGATCTAAATATGTAAACACACATTTAGAACACACAGTAGCATCTGTTCCCAGACCAAAAAACAGAAAGCAGCATAATGCAAATTTAACATACACAGAGAAGCATCTGTTCTAGTTACAGAGAGATGGGACTGTTCCAGTTACAGCATCTAAACATAAAATACAGATTCACCATTGCATCTAAATTTAAAATACAGATTCACCACTTACAGCATCTAAATTTGAAATACAGATTCAGAACACAGCAACACAGACTTGCCAGCAACACAGCAAATTTAAAATTAATCTAATCACAACTATCCACCGTTTCACTATTTTGCCAGCAACACAGACTTCAACACATGGATACAAAACATCACCTAGATAAAGAAGACACAGATTTAGAACAGCACCACAGTGAATTTGATTGCAGCAGCCGCACCACGTGTTGGCTTCATCTGCATATGGCTTTTGAGTTAGCAATCTCATTTTCAAATATATACAAGGAATACAAATATAATGTGAAGTTTGAAACATTAACCTACTTTGATTATGTTCTCCATTTTTTCCAATTACCAAAAAGAATCTACCTACTTGTTATCATATACCTATTGTTGTATGCCTCCCACATAGATGCTGCAACCTCATTTCGCCATTGTCCTATCTGCACTAGTTGTTCACGTGACATGTTCACATGGTTGTGTTGTTGCATAGTTGGTACTCCATCTTCATTTCCGTGGACATTTTGAACTCCAACTTCACCCTGAACTTGACTTGCACCTTCACCTCCACCTTCATCTTCATCTTCGTCTTCAACGTCATCTTCATCTTCGTCACTTGATTCTTCTGCATCGAAAAATTCATCCTGCTCTTGCACCGTCCGGATCCAATTGTGGAGAACATAACATGCCATAACGATTGGCCCTTGTCGTACCATATCATACCGTGGCATGTATCTCAATAATGGAAACCGTTGCTTCAATACTCCAAAGGTTCTTTCTATAACATTCCTCAAAGAAGAATGTCTATGGTTGAACAACTCCTGTGGACCATGGTAGCGACGCCGCCTATTGAACTCTTGCAAATGGTATTTTTGGCCACGATATGGGGCTACGTACCCGGGCATGTGTGTATACCCGGCGTCAACGAGATAATACTTGTCTACAGGAAAACTCTTTCAGTAAGAACATGTCATGCCATATTTGGGTGTGAGAAAAAGGAAAACTCTAAATTAAAAACAAATACACTTACTAGGTGGTGGGTGTAGAAAGTCAGCAGAATTTGTGGTAAGTGCTTCTAGGAAAATTCGCGAATCGTGTGCACTACCTTCCCAACCAGTGTATACAAACGTAAACCTCATGTCAAATGAACATGCAGCCATGGCATTTTGAGTTGTATGCACTTTTCTACCTCGATATGGCATTTGGTCACCTTCTGGTGCCACAACAACAACATGTGTGCCATCTATGGCCCCCACACAGTCCTACATGACATAACTTTGAATTAATTTATCTAATTTTCAGTCTGAATAAGCCATATAAAATAATGCAAATGAACTTAAGTTTTTGTTACCTTAAACCATGGCCAGTACCGTCTGTCATTCCGAATTTTATGATGGGTCACATCCATGTTCGGTGGTTGGATTACAAATGGCGCAAGATTTCCCAACGCTCGCATCATAAGTACGAAATGACGATGAATTGTCTCATTTGAGTGTTGAAATCAATCTCCTGCATTTCTTGTTCCTGAACTTTGACCACAGATAAATAAAAACATAGCCAACGACTCTTCAAGTGATAATCGCATGTTCGACCAGTCTACAACATTTCTACGGACAATCTGTTTAACTAATTCCACAAATGTTGGGACTTCCATTCGCAATTGTTCACGGATTGATTTAGGATTTCCACTTAGTAAGAATTTTATGTACTGCTCACCGGTGTATGGACAATTACGTTGCGGTTGTCTCGTAGGAATGTCAACTAAATTGACAAACCATGTGTAAGTCCATCACATCATCGTCATCGTCACTATATGGGTCATACATACTGTTCGGTTGCCTTCCATTGGATCGTGACGACGACATCTAAAGCGGAAAGTGTAAAACAGTCAAGGTATTATCAGTAATGACATGAGTACAGCACTAAAAATTTCTTGAGGACATTGCAACAAAGAAAGCATGGCGAAAAGATATTACGACAACATAGTAGTAAGCCTAAAGCCAATGAACTTAGACAGCATGATATAGATAGTTAGGTCAACACCCAACATAGTCCAAACCGAATATTACAAAAACAAACAAATTAAAACAAATATAATTTAAGTTTAACAAATGCGAAAAACAAAGAAAAATACACCCAAACAATTCTGCGAGCATCTTCATTTCCAGAAACCTCAAACCAAACAGTGGGATGACCAAGCTTCTCACAAACTGAGGATCCAAAGGTACCTCATTTCCGGTTCCATGGTCATAAACATGGTTCGCCATTCTAGTGATGTGAACATGTTCATGGCCTTCAAAAACAAGCTCGAATCCAGGGCTATTGATTTTAGGATGGTCATACATGCTGCAACGGAGTACGCATCAGCTGCCCCAGCACTGGCCTCGGCTTGAAGGTAAAACCGTTCACGTACTTCACATGAACGTTGCCATGATTGCAGTGCATCGTCCATTTTTGGGTTCTTGCTGGACTGACCCTGGCCACTAAACTTACGCTTACTTCCGGAATTTATAGATTCATCTACTACGCCTTTTCCCGACGTATATGCATGAAAGCGTTCATCCATTTCTCGCTCGTCATCAGATGTGGGTGCACCCTGACGAGAAGAACGCGCAAAAGTGCCCATGGCAAATGACTTGGCAAATATTTCTTATAGGAGCTCATAATGTTCAAGGCCTTTGGTTTGGAATTGTTTTGCATTTGGGTGTGCCTACAAGTTGTAAACTTTAATTAATTAAGCATTTAGAAAATTATTTCTCTATGCACATAGTTATGCTAAATGTATGCGCCAAATAATTACCTGAACATAATTTTCCCAAACATCGTCTGGGGCTGTCACTGTTTGAGTGATTGGATCCCAGCCCAAACCCGTGTGGTTTTTCAGAGCAACAAACTCTTTGTAGTTCGCCTTCAAACGCGCGAACTTACCCTTCAATTTTTTTTGCCCATAATTTTTTCCAACCTTTTTAGTCATCTCATCATCAATTGTTTGTCACTGCCTTGGGAAAAAACTCCTATCTTTCTTTGACATGGAAGGACCCTCTTTCTTTATTTCGTCCACCAATATTTCTAAAAATATCTTGACAATTTCGGACCCCCACATCTTAAAGTCGTCATTATCGTTAGCCATTCTAGCCTAATACAAGTGCAACAAATTACAGTTTATAGTTATGTGAACAACTTAAGTTCCAGAAAAAGTTTGGCAGTACGTGACATGAAGCATATGCATAATAATAGCCATTACGAATATTACAAATATTCAATATGAGATTCCGCGTGCAAAAGATTACCGAATAAGGACAATCGTTTTCAGCTGTGGAGGACTTGATTGATGGTTGAGGTGATCTCTTCCTCTTGGCCCTTGAAGAAGAAAATAAAAAGGCTGCTCCAAACAGGGAAATTAATTTTTGCAAAACGTTCATTAGATCATTTCAGTACGAATATCCCAAACAGAGTTTTTGATGTGTCATTGATGATATAAATGCTCTCAGAATTTGTATTGACCAGAATTTCTGTATGCATTTACCAGAATTTATGTATGCATACATGACTAGAAAAAATGTGGTACTTGCATTGACCAGAATTTGTGTGGTCATCTATAGCCTTCTCTTGAATGGTTCATTTGTAGCATACTGTTCCCAAAATAAAAGCTGAAATGGAGAAAACATTGTAGTGGCTCATTCCCATTGCCACTAACACAACCAAGTAAAACTACTAGCCTTGACAACATTATGCAAACTCAACCACTATATAAAAAATTAAACTACTCCATTAAAACTTTAAAATCTACTCAAAAGATAAACAACTCAATCTTTTTAACACATTCTAAACTGCTACTCGACTCATTTACAAGCCTAATCAGTAGTGTTTTGTAACCTCACATTTGCTATTTTTCAATGTATCAAAACTGCATCTTCTATTTCCAACATCAAATATGTGCAGCATTTTCTATTTTCTCATTGTTTTTATATTCTCAAAGTAAAAGATTTTTTGAAAAGCCAAAACTACAACAAAAGCAACACTCATCAACTGCTATGTTAGACTTGGCTTGCTCACAAACACAAAACACACACCAAGCCTACTACTCTACAGAATGAAAGCTTCACCGAAATCAATTCAGTAGAAAATGATACAAAACAAAAAATAAGAGTGCAAATGTATAATAAAGTAAAGAAGATTCCAATGTTTGTGGTGTAAACCAAGTGGTGTAGCAATTGCTATCGATTCCATATCCCAAAAGTCTAGCGTCAAAGATAGCGTAACAAATTGCATCAAGCTTTTGCACGATATGCAAGGATATATTACAGTATATGACCACAAAATCCTGCATTTTCGGGCAAAAATTTCCTTCTTATTTGAGAGCTTGAAAATGATATCAGCAGAATTGAGGGACCTTTAAATTATTCTTTCACCTTCATTGTTTACTGCCATGGAACGAAATTCATGGCTGAAATCAGTGTAAATTCATCTTTTCACAAAAAATGGAGAGAAACAGCCATTTTCTTATCAAAATTGCTAATCCTAAAAAGAGAACTATCTGTAATTTGCATATGTTCTATGAGACACCAAATAAATTAAGCTAAGGTTAATTTACCGATTTCGAAAATTATCTGGTGCGTGACTGTATGGACTACGATTTCAAAAATTTACCAGAATCAGTCAATACATTGTTCAAAACTGACAAACCCAAATGAAATTTAAAAAAAAAAAAAAAAGGAGTCATGCATTAGAAATACCTCTTGCTTGCCTGCTTTTGGTGGCCCTCAAATTCCACCGTCCACAACGAAGTTTTGAGCACGGCCTCTCCGTTTTTGCAGCGAATGATGAAGTTATGCTTCGTCTTGGTGGGGTTCGACGCTGGTTGGTTTGCATTTTATAGAGCCCAGAAGAAAAAAACGAAGGACATTGATGTTACAAGTCCCAATTGTGTGAAGATTTCATTCAGTTTGACTAAGACCAAAGCTAGGGCACGATTTGGGGAAATCTGTGAGGCAGAGAAGTTGTGATAGACAGTGTC